GTGTGTGTGTGTGTGTGTGTGTGTGTGTGTGTGTGTGTGTGTGTGTGTGTGTGTGTGTGTGTGTGTGTGTACGTGCGTAACATCACAATTAATCGTTATTAATCTAAATAATAAATAATTATGATAATATAATATACAAGCAATAATACATAGCAGACAACGTTATAGGTTATATCTTACCGGTGTGCTTGTATAACCGTGACAGTAACATCTACGAGATATACAACGCCATCTATTGGCCGTATTAACATCACATCAGCGTTATTAATCTAAATGATAATATACAATATAATATACAACGTTATAGATTATATATTATCAGGAGTATATAAAATAATATTCTTAATATCTATATAAGACACTCATGATATTAAGGTATGCTATTAATATCAAGAGCTAATAAACATAAGTTATAAGTTTATTAGCTCTTGTTAATATCTATATATAACATACTCATGATATTAAGGTATGCTATGTTATTGTAGTTGGCGCGCAGCAACCGAGGCAGCAGCGTCTACGAGATGTATCGCATGGAGACGGTGGGAGCTCTCATCAACGCAGTGTTCCTCATCTCGCTCTGCTTCCTCATCTTCCTCGAAGCGATGAAGAGATTCCTGCTGGAGGACGAGCACATCGACAATCCACAGCTCATCCTCATCGTCGGCAGCATCGGCCTGTTCCTCAACATCATCGGACTCTTCCTGTTTCACGGTGGGTGGCGCGACGGTCGTCGGGCGATGTCGGCGTTTTCCTGTTTTCACTCTAGGTGGCGTGACGATCGCTCGTCATCGTCTTCCTGTTTCGTGATAGGTGACGCCACAATCGCTCGCAGCGACGACCGTCGGCGCTGACGTATTAGCAGCATCCGGCGCGCGTCGGCGGCGACGTAAATAGATCATGCATGCGCCACCCCGCGGATACTTTGGAAATCAGGATAGCATAATCAAATCGATTACGAAGGCGATGCTATCCACTCGACGGAATAGGTTTGATCGTGCTGTGCCTATCTAATCTAGCTATTCTCTCACCCACCCCTTTCTTCTTCTCTCTCTCTCTCTTCTCTCTCTCCTCTCTTTTCTCTCTCTTTCTCTCTCTCTCTCTCTCTCTCTTCTCTCTTTCTCCTCTCTCTCTCTCTCTCTTCTCTCTCTCTCTCTCTATCATCTATCTATCTATCTCGCCTTCTCTCTTCTCTTCTCTCGTCTCTCTCCTCTCTCTCTCTCTTTCTCTCTCTCTCTCTCTCTCTCTCTCTCTCTCTCCGTCTCTCGCTTGTCTGTCTCTGTCTCTCTCTCTCGTCTTTCTATCATCTTTCTTTCTATTTCGTTCTCTCAATAACCCTCTCTCGTCTCTCTCTCTCTCTCTTCTCCTCTCTCTGCTCTCTCTTCCTCTCTCTCTCTCTCTCTTTATCTGTCCTATTTCTCTCTATCTCTCTCATCTCTCTCTCTCTCCTCTCTCTCTTTCCTCTCTCTCCTCTATCTCTCTCTCATATTTTTCAATTCTCTCTCTCTCTTTCTCTCTATTTTTCAATTCTCTCTCTCTCTTTCTCTCTATTTTTTATCTCTCTCTTTCTCTCTTTTTATCTGTCTATCTCTCTCCATCTCTCTCTTCTCTGCTCATACTCTCTCTCCTCTTCTCTCTCTCGTCTCTCTTCTCTCTCTTCTTCTCTCTCCCCTCTATCTCTCTCTCTTTTCTTCCTATTTTTCATCTCTCTCTCTCTCTCTTCTCAAATCTATTTTCTATCTCTCTCTTTTCTCGTCTCTTCATCCAACTTCTAACTCTCTCTCTCTCTTTCTCTCTATTTTTCATCTCTCTCTCTCTTTCTCTCTATTTTTCATCTCTATCTCTATCTCTCTCTCTCTCTCTCTTCTCTTCTCTCTCTCTCTCTCTTCTCTTTCTCTCTAGTTCTATTCATCTCTCTCTTTCTCTCTTTCTCTCGTATTTTCTCATTTCTCTCTTTCTCTCTTTCTCTCTTTCTCCCCCATCTCTTTCTTCCCCTCACTCTTCGTCTTTCCAGTCCGTCCTACCTCTCTATCCATCCTCTCTCTTCCTCCCCCACTCTCTTCCCGCGCCTGTGTTGTAATGAGTTTGACTACAAGATACCCCTCCTCCCATTTCGTGACCCGCCCTTCTCTCTGCCGCAGGCCATGGACACTCTCACTCTCCGGAGCGGCCGCCGAATTTCTCGATCGGCTGGAGGAAGGACGGAGAAGACATTTTTTGACAACGACGAGCCCTCTTCCCCTCACGCCACGGCTGAGAGCAACGTCACACGATAGATTCTTGCCGACTGATCAAAGTAGGCCAGAATATCCGAATTTCGGAACCGCCTTGCACGCACGAGAATGGAGTCGACCGCGTTCAGCCCGCGTGGTGCTGGCATCACTCCAGTGATTTAGGAACAGCGTCGGGAGCGCCGCCGTCACCGTCGCCGACGGAAAGAGTAAGTGCGGTGTGCTGTATTGGATCGATGTGCTAATGAAGATGATTGAAGATGATAATGATTGCGGGATGATGGTGATACGCATGATGGTGATGATGATGATGATGCTATAGATGGTGATGTGATTGATCAATTTATATGATGCATGGACGGATGATGATCATGGTAATCCTTTCGCTCTCTATCTCTCCCTTTCTCTCGTCTCCATCTTCGTCTCTCTCTCTCTACTTCATCTCTCTCGTCTCTCTACGATTATATATAGTATATATATATATATATATTATATTAGTATGGGCTTGCTTTTACCCGAATGCGGTTAACAGTGCTAATTTGCTCATTCTAGGTCACAGCCAAAGCCCACGGTTGGCTCACAAGGCCACAAAACCGGCAGGCATTGGAGGTAGCGAGATCACCCTGAACATGCAGGTCGCGGGTGTTTCTGCACTCGTAGTCTGGGCGGAGAACGCTCTAGGCTCCGTCTTCATCATCGTCTCAGCTCTCTCATTTTGGAATACCAGTTTCCACTTTGGAGTTCTATATAGACCCCGGCTCTCATGGTTCGCCGCGCATTTCCCGGCGTATCCGAGATAGGTGTTATATCACGCATTAAGGGATTTTTCGGTTTGCCTGTCATCCGAGTGGGAGGCGAGGGGATTGGCGTCGAAGGGGCCAGCGGTCGTTGTTGTTGGTTTTGGGGGTGGGGGGCCAAGTACTGCGTATTATATTGTATGTGTTATGTTGTGGTGTGTGAAACGAGGAAGGAGTCCCGATGATGTGTTGTCGTGCGTGCGTGGGCGGGTGTTTGCGTGAAGTTACATGCAAGGGTTTTGTTAGTGTACGCGCCAAGTTGTGGAAAGTCCCTAATTCGTGTGACCGCGTGTGTTGTACGAAGTCGTGCGTGTGTGTTACGCTCGCGTGCGTGTGTGTATTTGCGCCTGTTGCGTTGTTGTTCGTTGTGCCGGCGATTTGTGCGTGGAATTACATGCAAGTGTTGTGTACGCGCGCGTGACTGTGGAGTGTGTCTTGTGCTCGTTGGATTTTTGGTGGCGGGTGAGCTGTGTTAAGTTACATTTGCATGTCCTGTTGTTACGGCGTCCTTCCAGTCCGCTGTAGATCCTCTTCTAGCCTGCTCGTGTGTGTCCTAGTTGGGCAAATGTGGGCGGATTTCTGACGGGGTTAATTACATGCCAAGGTGATGTGTGGTACGCGCGTGTTTTTCTCTCTCCTCACAGTTTGTCCTGATGATCGCAATTTATGCTCAGCAGCACGCAATACCTCTACGTGTAAGTATAATAATCGAAATACTAGTAGCAATAATAATAGTACTAATATAATTATTATTTCAGCGCAGCAGCCAACAACATCCTTTGATTAAAATCTATTTTAGCAGATGGAGTTTTAGAAGCAGAATTAAAACCCAGTTTCATGATTTTATATGTTAATTTTATTATTTGGCTCCCTCCCTCCCTTTCGTCCCTGCATCCGCTTCCTTTTCGCCCTCCCTCTCTGCTCCACCATTCTCTTCTCTTCCTGTCATCTTCCTAGCGTGTTTTGACCCGTCGATCTGTTCCTACCACACATTCACTACATCACTACACTATCACACACATAACAGCATCACACACACACACCACTACATCTCACACTACATCACATCACACCAACACACACACAGGCAGAGACTACACACACACACCACACACACACACACACATCGCTTTCTCTTTCTTTCGCTCCCCTCTCTATTTCTCTCTCTCTCTCTCTCTCTCTCTCTCTTTTTTTTCTCTCTATCTCTCTCCTCTCTATTCTCTTTTTTTCTGCTTTCCTTGCCGTCTCCTATCTCTTTCCTTGCCATTCCCCTAAACCTTTACCTCTCTATGCATAGTTAAACACTTGACCAAGTCAGTNATATATATGCTTGCTTTACCCGAATCGTTAACAGTGCTAATTCGCTCATTCTAGGTCACAGCCACAGCCACGGGCACAGCCACGGGCAGGAGGGCGGTCACCTGAACATGCAGGGGGTGTTTCTGCACGTGCTGGGCGACGCTCTAGGCTCCGTCTTCATCATCGTCTCAGCTCTCGTCATCTGGAAAGTGCAGGGCCACTGGAGGTTCTATATAGACCCAGCTCTCAGGTGCGCGCCATGCCGGCAGCATCCTCGAGGGTGTTAATCAGCAAGGGGATTCGCGTTGCTGTATCGATGGGAGGGAGGGGGATGGGTCGGAAGGGGCAGCGGGGTGTGTGTTTGGGGGGTACGTGCGTACGTACGTACGTGCGTGCGTGCGTGTGTGTGTGCGTGCGTGGGCGGGTGTGCGTGAATACATGCAAGTGTGTGTACGCGCGTGCGTGTGTGTACGCGCGTGCGTGTGTGTACGCGCGTGCGTGTGTGTATGCGCGTGCGTGTGTGTGTGCGCGGGCGGATGTGCGTGAATACATGCAAGTGTGTGTACGCGCGTGCGTGTGTGCGTGCGTGGGCGGATGTGCGTGAATACATGCAAGTGTGTGTACGCGCGTGCGTGTGTGCGTGCGTGGGCGGATCTGCGGGAATACATGCAAGTGTGTGTACGCGCGTGTTTTTCTCTCTTACAGTTTGCTGTTGATCGCAATTATGCTCAGCACCGCAATACCTCTACGTGAGTATAATAATCGAAATACTAGTAGCAATAATAATAGTACTAATATAATTATTATTCAGCGGCAGCAGCAACA